CCAGGTTGGCCATGCTGGTCAGCGTGTTAGGATGCTTATCGCCAAGCACTCTCTTCGTTGTCTCCATTACTTGCACCTCCAGCTTCTCAGCCTCGTTCCATCGCCCTTGGTTCCAGTACGTCGCTGCCAGGTTGGCCATGCTGCTCAGCGTGTCAGGATGCTCATTGCCAAGCACTCTCTTTGTTGTCTCCATCACTTGCACCTCTAGCTTCTTAGCCTCGTTCCATCGCCCTTGGTTCCTGTACGTTGCTGCCAGGTTGGCCATGCTGGTCAGCGTGTTAGGATGCTTATCGCCAAGCACTCTCTTCCTTGTCTCCATCACTTGCACCTCCAGCTTCTCAGCCTCGCTCCATTGCCCTTGGTTCCTGTACGTTGATGCCAGGTTGGCCATGCTGGTCAGCGTGTCAGGATGCTCATCGCCAAGCACTCTCTTTGTTGTCTTCATCACTTGCACCTCCAGCTCTCCAGCTGCCTTATATTGACCATCACTGTACAGAGCCATAGCACACTTCCATGTAAGGTCCAATCTCTCGTCGTTGTCCCTTTGACTATGCGACAGGACATACTGTGCGTGTGGAAGCAGTCGTCTCCACTTGCTTCTGTTATTGGGATTGTTGTCTGGAAACACCTGGAGTAGTTGTGTGATTGTGCGTTGGATCCATTCGTGGAGCTGTCCCTTCGCCTGCAGCCTCTTTCGCAGCGCATAATGGACGAGTTGATGAACATCAAGTGCTGACTCAGCAGGTCGCCTGGTAACAAGCGCATACCTGTCAAGTACCTTGATGGCATCTTCGCGGGCCTGTGGCGAAGCTGTCTCTAGAAGATCGAGCGGGATGTCCTTTCGATCCACGCATGCAGCAAGCAAGAGGTAGTCTGCAGCGACCTCACTGCTATGGCGGACCTGACTCATAGAGAGAAATAGTGTAGCAGCTACAGTGTTTCTCAGACTAGATTCCTGCCGCTTACCCTTAGACAAGTCATTGCTGTACTCGACAGCTGCTTCTTTGTGCTCGGCTAGCTGTGCTCGGTACTGCTGCACCGTCACACTACTAGCGTTTATGCACGCTGCCGCTTGCGCGATTGCCAGAGGCAGAAACGATAACTCTCTAAGCAGGTGCATAGCGTCCTGCTGTCCAGCGCTCGAAAGCGGCGCTGTTAAGCGGTTTTGTAGCATCCTCAGCGCTGTGTCTGGCGTCAGCTCAAGCAGCGCTATGACATTCTTTGGAGCAAGCGCCTCCGCTGTATCGCTCTCTGTTGTTGTTGTGAAGATGACAGAACACAGCTTGGATTGCGGCAGAAAGTCGGCTACGGCTGCAGCTTCGCTTGTAAACAATGAGCCACTGGGCCGTACAGTGATGCCATCAGCGTTGTCAAAGATCAGTAAGCACTGCTGCGTACTTAGTTCTGCCACGCAGCGTCTAACAATCTGCTTGATGTCTGCCTGGTCATCGTCACAGCCAGGAATACCGAGCTTCTGCGCAACGCTTGCATACGACCGGTAGAGGCTGTCTGTGTCGCTCGCGTCCATCCAGAAAACCGAGCAGCTCTTGTTGTTCAGTTTCGCTCTGTGTGCCACCTCGAGTGCGAGCTGCGACTTGCCTGTTCCTCCTGGCCCGACTATCGCTAGCGTGGTAGTAGTCTGGTCGTTGCTGAAGAGCGCCGCTTCTACTTCAGCGAGCTGTGGCTCGCGACCCACAAAAGACTCGTTTCGTGAGAATGGTATGATCGACGGTGCGCTGCCAGCTGCCTCTATCTCGGCCTGCAGTCTCCTTTGTGCATTCTCCTGTCCTTCGCCGTACGTAATCGGCATCGAGATGCCAACCACTCCAAGCAGGCAGTACACGATGTCTTCTTCTTCAGTCGTTGTGCGATTCTCAGCCCACCGCCTTCGTTCAGATGTGCTGAACTGGTCCAAACAACAGTTGCGCAGTGCCGCGAGCGGTAGGCCGGTGATGTCGTGCAGAAGTCGATCGAGTGATGCTTTGTCGCCTATGCGATGTCCTTTACAAGAGAAGAACTCGACCGATACTGGCGCGATCAGCTCTTGGAGCGTCCAGCCTCGACTGAACCATGCACTTGCACGGAATGACGCCTCCCAGTCGCTGCACGGGGCCGTCTCTGTCGCAGCTGACGTTGACACGTCTGACATGAAGACGTAGCATCGGGCCGCGTTCTGGTACCACTGGAACATGGAGTTGATCGCTCTTGAGCGCTCGTTGTTGTCCCATCTGTCGATGCAGCATGTGTCGATCCAGAAGTACAGCAGCCCGTCCCGAGCGGCCTGTTCGGCACAGAACTGTAGCTTTACATGGCCTTCTTCTCTTTTTGTGTAGTTACCATTCGATATGTCTTCAATGAGGGTCTCAGAGTCGCTCCATCGGTGCGATAGGATAGCATAGGGCGGGATCGACTTGCCGCGGAAGTCTGTCAGAATCAGTCTGTTCAGGGCGTCAAAATGGAGAAGCCGCATGGCGCTTAATGCTGAAGGTTCAGTACAGGGGAAAGGGTGGCGAATGGCTTCTGTAGTAGTGGGAATCAACAATCAACGATACAGTTGCGACAAGGCAGAGAAGGCAGCCTGACGAGGCAGTGCATGCGACCAGGCTGAAAGTGCTGGTGGCTGCATCAAGCGCCCAGCGTTCTGCGCCGCCTTGCCTCAGCTCATTTTCGCTGGGGCAGTAGCGTTCATTTGCCTTGTGCGACTCATCTCAGAGAAGTGCACATGTGGGCAAGGTGCCAGTGGATGGAGTAGATTTGATTACAGAGGTTGTTGTTGTGGCCTCTCACATGGCTGTGCGACGGAGCGAGCACGACTGCGGGAGCGGGACACGGTTGCCTGCACGACCGGGTATAAGAGCTGTCTAAGGCCAGGTGATCAGTGGCCGCAGCACTCAGCCACAGCGCGCTCCGTCCTGCTCAGACATCTCAGCACGCTACTGCTGCGCAAATGTCGTTTCGACGATCTTGCCGTTCGTGCAGAGAAACTGCCGGGATGCACAATCCTTACCTTAACTTAACCTTCTGAGGCTGCAGTCTTGAACTTTGCTATTTCGCCTCCTTTCCTAGACCACCGAGCTCTTCATGAAGACGACTTGTCGCGGATTCACAGGGGCATGTCAGACGGGACTCGATGGACGGCACTGACAAAACGAGCGACAGCACGGTCAACCTTGCGGTTTACGTCCCCGGCATGTAGCCTGTGAGAAGGCCGAGAGCCACAGAGTTGATGCACGCTGTCGTTGGTAATCTATAGGCGTGGTGTGAGCATGCCGAGCATCCGGAAGAAAAAGTGTCCCGGCACACCGTGCGTCCCGGCTCGCTTGGATTGACATTAGTTGACTGCCTGTTCGAGCCTGCGGCTTGAGGCTTGAGACTTGAGGCATTCGAATGGTTACCGAGCCTAAGGGGGAGGTCTTTATTGACCGCTATCTGAGGTATATATACCAAGTTCAAGCTATCTTCTGGTGTAATCCCCATTCACACTTTGTCTAGACATGAAGTTCGTTCAATATCGTAGTAACATGTCTCGCGTCAACATCCCAAATTAGTGTACAATCGAAACGGACGCGGCACCCCTAAAGGCCCGCTGCTATATGATGAAAAAGGTACAACAGAATGACAAACGGGTATCCTAGGTTATTGCAGCACGACATGGTGTCGAGTGCAGTTGAGTAATGTTCTGGTATGCAGGCGGCTACCCGGCGTTGGTCTTGTCCGCCATATCGAGTGGTGCTCACCGATATCCTCCCCTTCTACTGCCTCTCCTCTCCCTGTATTCGTCATGCTCCTCGATGACCTCGACGACATCGTCGTTGGGCACTCTCCGCCTCTCCTCGACGATGATGCTGCGTGTCCTGGGCGGCGGCGGCGCTCTCCTCTCTTCCACGATAATGTGTGAGCGGCCACTCGACTGCCTCGGGCTGCGGCTGACTTCGCGCATCTGGGCGTGCGAGCTGCGGCGCGATCGGTTGCCGTGCGAATTGCGCCTCGATCTGCGAACCACAATCTCCTCCTCGCCCGCGAATGCCGTCGTGGTGCCAGCCTTGCTGCCCTGGGTGAGCGTGAAGAGCAGCCAGACGACGAGCAGGAAGCCGGCGACGCTGCCCAGCACGATGCCGACGACGGTGCCGGGCTCGGGGCCGGAGAGGTTGTAGTAAGTGGGTATTATGCCCTGCTGTATCATTTGCTGGCGCCTGACCATGGGCGCTGTGAGGGGCGCTTCTTGTGCCATGGCGGCGATGTCAATGGCAGGATCGCGAGGCGCAACATTTCCCAGTTGCGCCATCGCATTGAGCAGTTCGGATACTGCGGGCATTGTGCAGGCTGTCGAGCAGCGACACTGTGGGGATTTGTGCGCGCCGAGCGGCGACGAGACGGCTGTGTTTCGGGTCGAGGGTCGCTGGGGAACCGGGTCGCTGGGAAACCGGGTTGTTGTTGACTCCGGGGAAGCCGAGTGGTGCTGGATGGGGGAGGGGCAGTCCGCAACACCACGGTCGAGATGAAGGAGCGACAAGAGTGGAGAATGCGATGCCAATTCTCGATGGACAAGAAGGGAAAACGGAAGGAAGAGCAGGGCGACGCAAGCGCGGTCAGATCTGGCGCTGTGCTGGACTCGCGGCCATGGCATGATGCGATTAGCTCCTCCGCAAGAGGAGGCTGGGCCTCGACAGTAAATGAGGGGGCTGTACTCGACACGAGCTTCGCAGTGCGCGTCTGTCGATGCATTCAATCCTCAAGTGGATTGTTCCAGCAAGCAGCATGTTGCTGCCAGTGTTCGTTGCGTCACGATGCGCGCATTCGACAGTGCACAATCGCTGTGCTACCAGTTCAATCGTTGGAGGATACAGGCTGTGTAGATGCAGCGGCTGTGGTGCTCCCGACCGCACCATGCAAGATGCACTATGTCGCCATGGCCATCAAGACCACGACATCATGCCAGTATCTGGGACAGTTGTTCACACGCCGGGGGAAATAAGTCTCTGCCACGACGTGGAGATGCTTCTGTAGACACCGATCAACAACGCAACGAATGACTAAGCCAACGTTGGAGCTGCTGCTGGTGGCGCTGACCAAGCTCGAAGACCTTCCTCGAAGACCTTCCTCGAAGATGTCTGGCTGGTTCAAGAATCCCGAGGTTTGCTGTCTCATCTGAAGTACCTGGCACATTAGTAAGACATGGATCACTCACAGCACGAGCACGATCGTGCCTGAGGCAAGAACTGGTGGGTGCACGTATGCCAAGGAAGGAACGGGGTTTGCCGCTATGGCCAAATGTTTCCAGGTCAATTCCAAACCGCAGCCCTGCACACAACACTGACCCACGCCACAACTCCACACGCATCGCATTCACACGCCTGAAACCGCGCTTTGTCGACAGCCGCATTTAAACCGTGATACGGAAACGCGAAAAGACGCGCCGGTCGCCTCTGCTTTGATCGCGACACTTTTCTCATCCCGAGCCTTCTCACCGACTCGTCGCCTTCGCACGCAGACAGCCAACATGGCCGATTTCTCTCCTGAGTCGCCGCTCGCGGCGCAGCTGCAGCAGGTCGTGCAGCCCAAGCTAGCAGAGAACGGGTGGACAACGGGCGGCGACGATACAACGCTGTTCGAGTACATTCTGCTCATGCTGGCCAACGGCAAGGATCAGGCGCAAGTCGCCGCAGAGCTCTCGAACGACCTGCTCGACCTCGGACCCGAAAATACCGAGACTCAAGAGTTCGCGCAGTGGCTATTCGGCCAAATCGACGCGTTGCACGGGCAAGCTGCCGGCGGGGCTCAGGGCGCACCTTCGACAGACCAGGCCATGGACGGCGGCGCACCATCGTTCGTACCCGGCGGGCAAGACACGGATATGGATGGCACGTCGGAAACCCAAGAGGGCATGTACGTCAGACCAGCAGCTTTCCATGGCGTGCAGCACCAACTGACACAACGCAGCCCCACCGGGCCAAAAGCCATGCGCAACGGCAGCGGCCCGCAATCAGCGCGCGGCGGTCCTCGTAGCGGACGCAACATGCTCAACCAGGTGAACAGACAGATGAATCGAAACGACGACCCGCTACATCGCGTTCGCGGCGGCGGAGGCATTGGTCGAAACAACCGGGAACCGCCTCGAGGCCCCCGCGGCCAGAACCTCGGTCGCGGGATGGAAGCCATGGCGAGCGGCAGGGGCATGAACCAGATTGGTAATATCAACGGCGCTCCGGGACCCATGAACGGAATGAACGGAATGAACGGCATGGGCATGGGCGGCATGCCCGGGATGCCGATGCCAGCCATGGGCGGCCAAAACGGCCAGAATGGCATGAACGGCGGCATGGGCCTGAACCAGCAGCAGCAGATGGCGCTCATGCACATGTACGAGCAGCAGGCCCAGATGATGCAGCAGATCTTCTCAGGCGCAGCACCTACACCCTACGTCAACCCCAACTTCAACAGCAGAGGAGGCCGCGGCGGGCGAGGCGGGCGAGGAGGAGGACGCGGCGGCATGCACCAGTCCACCAAGTTCACCAAGAAGGAGGGCCAGGACGATGCCATGACCGACGGTCCTGCAGGCGAGAAGGGCGACGGCATGGAGGTCGAGAACACACGGCCGGAACCCTCAGCGACCATGTGCAAGTTCAACCTGCGCTGCACCAACCCCGATTGCCACTTTGTCCACCAGTCGCCAGCCGCTCCTCCTGGCACGACCATAGACATGGGAAGCGAGTGTGAGTTTGGCGCAGCGTGCAAAAACAAAAAGTGCGTTGGGAAGCACCCCTCGCCCGCGAAGCGCCAGCAGTTCCAGTCGGAGCAGGAGTGTGCCTTCTGGCCCAACTGCCGTGATCCGGCCAACTGCCCGTACAAGCACCCCTCGGCACCACCGTGCCGCAACGGCGCTGACTGCACAACGGCCGACTGCAAGTTTTCGCACAGCTCGGTCATGTGCAAGTTCAGCCCGTGCCTGAACCCGCGCTGCCAGTACAAGCACGCGCCCGGACAGAAGAAGAACAACACCAACGTGTGGGTTGCACCCAAGGACGGCGAACACGTCAGCCAGAGGAAATTCATCGACGAGAACCAAGACGAAGAGCTCATCATCCCTGGCCAGAACAGCCAGGCCACCAAGACGGAGCCTGAGAGCATGGAGCAGGATGTGGCATTATAGATAGATGATGAGGAATGATGGCAATGGTGGAAGTGGAAGACTGCACAAAAGCAGCAAAAGAGCACATGTACTATATAGTCCTGGATAGGATGGGCCGGACGAGGCTGCGGCTCGCAGGCGTCGGGGAACAAAGTGTGGTTTCGGCAGCCGTTGGGCTGCCTTGTGTCTCTCTACACACTCTCTTCTGGCGTGCAGTTGTGAAGTGGCCCCGAGCTTAAAGTCGTGTCATGATGACATGGTGCATATGCACATGGGGTACCGCAGGGCTGAGAGCTCGGACGACATCCGAGGCGAACTTCACGGGGACGAGCACCACACATGGGCTGCCATTGAGCCACCGTTTGCGCCTTGCCCCGCTCCCCCACCGCCGGCAATGCTTGTCAGAAGACATGTGCCGCTCCTCGAGTCGACCGTGAGCGTCCGCGCCCTGCGCCCGCTGGTGGCCTCGCAATGCACCCGCCTGCCGCGCCTGCGCTACTCGTCCACTGCGGCGGCGGCGCACCCTGAGCGCATTGCGGTGCTCGGCGGGGGCATCGCCGGCCTCGCGAGCGCCTTCTTCGCCAGCCGCGAGTTTCCGGACAGCAAGATCACAGTGTATGAGAGCGGAAAGGATATCGGCGGCTGGCTGAGCAGCAGGCGCGTGCAGGTGCCTGGCGGCGACGTGCTCTTCGAGGCGGGGCCCCGAACGCTCCGCAACGCACCGCCGACTGTGCACCTGGTGAGCTGCCTTGGAGCGGGGGACACACACAAACAACAGCTGACGGATGCAGATCCAAGAGCTGGGCATCACCGACGACCTCATCTTCACCAAGCGCTCGGAGCCTGGCGCCAAGAACCGCTTCATCTACTACCCTGACCGCCTCAACCGCCTGCCCTCTGCGTCGCCTAGCTTTGGCGACGTCTACTCGCTATGGCGGACGGGCATCCTCGAGGGCTTCACGGGCGTGATCAAGGAGCCTTTGCAGCCAACGAGGTCCGCCGTCCTCAGCGACGAGACAGTCGGCTCCTTCCTAGCTCGCCGCATCGACAAGCGCATCGCCAACAACATCATCTCGGCTGTCTTCCACGGCATCTACGCCGGAGATATCTGGCAGCTGAGTGCGAAGTCGCTGCTGTCCCAGGCCTGGCAGCTCGAAGACCGATACGGCTCTGCCTTTGGAGGCTATATGAAGCTGCAGAAGGAAAGCACCAACGGGCAGCCACAGGCTCTGGCCCACCCCTTCGACATTGAGTATTCCCGTGCTGTGAACGAGGAGATCGACCTCGGCCTCGAGCTCGCTCAGAACATGAAGGACGCCAGCATGTTCACCTGGAAAGACGGCCTGCAGACGCTCGTCACAGGCCTCAAGGACGCCATGGAGAAGACGGGCAACATCGAGATCAAGCTCAACAGCCCCGTCTCCTCGGTCGAAATGGCAGAGGGCGGAGAACAGAAAGTCCAAGTCAGCGCCGGCGTACGTCCGACGTCCCTCATTCACCCCATCACAAACTAACGCCCGTAGTCCGACGCCAATCAAACCACCGCAACCTACGACTCCGTCCTCTCCACCCTCCGCGACCGCGACCTAACCCCTTTCGTAAACGTCATGACAGTGAACCTCTTCTTCTCCAACCCTTCCCTCCTCCCTGTTGAAGGCTTCGGCTACCTGCTCCCGCAAAGCATCCCATTCGAGCAGAACCCCGAGCGGGCGCTAGGCGTCATATTCGACAACAGCGCCGTGCGCGGTCAGGACAGCGTGCCCGGCACCAAACTCACCGTCATGCTGGGCGGCCACTGGTGGAACGACTTCGAGGGCTTTCCGGACGAGGAGGAAGGCCTCGCCATGGCCCGCGCCGTACTTGAGCGCCATCTCGGCATCACCGACGAACCCGTTGCGCATCAGGTTAATCTCAGTAAGGATTGCATCCCGCAGTACACGATCGGGTACGAAGAGCGTCTGCGTTCGTGCGCGGCGGGTTTGCAGGATAAATTCAAGGGCAGGCTGCGCGTCGTCGGCGCGCAGGTCAGCGGGGTCGGCGTCAATGACTGTATTGCCGGCGCATGGAATGTCGTGCGTGGACTGAGGGGGGATGGGTGGAGGGGTAGCAGTTGCGGGCTCGACCGCGTGCAAGACTCGCGTCCGTGGCAGGTCGTGGACGCGAGCAGTTTGGCGTACAAGAGAAAGGTCCAGATTAAGCGCGAGAGCGACCCGTGAAAGGCGTAGATAGATATGTATAACACTTGTGGTCGGCACAGCGCTCACATTGCACGTGACAAGACTTTTGACACTTTCCTATGGTTGATACGAGTGCTGGCTGTAGGTTTCTATGTATGATCCATTTGGGGAGATTTGGTGTTATATTTGTTAGCGCTGATGCACATTGAGATTCTTCCCTTTAAACAATTATGCTTATTTATGTCCGTAAGTAGTAATTCGATTCGTTAGCGTCTGACGATGAGATCACGGGCGACGACCTGCAGCTACCTCAAACAACTGGACGAGCGCAGACTATTCCTGCAGTGTCTGTTGCACGACACATCGATCGCCGCTGCAATCGAAACCCCACCATTAACAGCAGCGCGATGAGCAAATACCTAGGTGACGATGACGTCTCTCTGCTGGTGCTCTGGTCCCTCGGACTGTCGTCCCAGCGCTCTGTTCTCAGTTATTTAGCATGGTGTACAGAACTGCTGTTGCGACTCGATTCCTCCATCCACTCGGTCGATCTCACATGGTCAGCAGAGCTGAGCTAGTCTGTATGTTTGCCTACCCTGCCTTGCAGCATCCGGCTCGCGATTCCGAGCGCACAGTGGCCTACTGTAACTCGAGCATGGAGTCCACTTTGACGGCTTTCCGGGCCCTCCAACCAGCGTCAGCAGCCTATCTCGCATCTCGCCAGCAGTGTTATCACAGCCCAATTAAGACTCCGAGGGCGAAACGCAGGCCCGCACTTGGCGCTTGCGTTGCATGCCGCGAGCGGAAATCAAGATGCGACGGGCACCGCCCTGTCTGTGAATGCTGTGTGCAGCGCGATACCCCCTGCGTGTACGAATTAGGCGTGAACGAAACGCCGTCGGACGCCCGCCGGCGGAAGAAGGAGGAGATGCAGACCGAGCTCGACGGCTTACGTCACCTGTATAACTCGCTGCGGTCGTGTCCCGAGCACGAGGCGTTTGAAATTCTCCATTGGGTCCGCCTCAGCCCTTCGGACACGCTGACGCTGGATTGCTCCGCCGGTCTGCCGCATCCGCTTGCGCAACCACACCCGCACCACGCGCTGCCTGCTGCTGCGCCCCGGCAGCTTGTCGCCTCGCCCTCGTCGCGTCCCGCGAAGGTCTCGCGTCAGTCCCGGGCTCAGGAGCTCACGTTGCCCCGTACGTCGATTGGGTTTCTCCTGCAGACTTCTCCAACTGTGGGGTATGCTGGCTCGGATGGATAGTCGATTTCCAGTCATAGGCAGCGCGTGTTGGGGCATAGTACGAAAAGGCTGGGATGAAAATCAGGAGAACTGTACTCTCGCTGCTGGCAGTGCCAGAGCAAGCGGTGGATGAGAAATGTCCAGCTTAGCGGGAACCAACATTAATGAATGGTACTCTATCCGCACCAGAACGTCGGACATGGGCTTTTCAAATCGACGTGTGATTGTCTGTCGTTGTGGAGACTTCCGTCCATTTCCCGCCAATTCTCCGCCGTTTCGTTCGCTCATGTCTCGTACCTCACTCTTCTCCCGCAGGCGTTGTGTAGCTTTGCAAGCTTTTCACCAACGTTCTACAGCGCCGGCGGTAAGCTCGTGACTCGTGGCCAAGGAGCCGCAGGTATGGATCAGGTTGATAAGAGGGGAAGGCAGACCAGGTAGTGGGGTTGCATGTGCTCCATGGCCTCGCTGCCAGACTGGAATGGGTGTGTGTGCTAATTGCTTCGGGATCAGCCTTCAAGATATCCTCGCAATTGATGGAAACGGTCGTGTTCGCATGCCGCAATATGGGCACGTCCCTGAGTCTGTCCACTGTTGTGACGGCGAAGGGCTCCGGGGAGATGCCTACTAAACTGAGTCGTCAGCTTATGTTTCATAGACCTAGTGTTGTAGAGTGGGCCGCAATTCTTTGCCGAAATCCAAGCTTACTTTGTTGGTCTTGGGGCTGGGGAGTGTTAGACGGTCGATCTGCCCAATGCGTTCTTTAACAAATCGAGCTTAGAGATGCATGGACACAAGGGGACGTTGCTAGACGATGGACGTAGTGTTGGTCCCCTGTCTATTTGCGTCTGCTTCAGGCGATAGCGCGAGAGCGCGGCCAATCACTGGCATCGCGCAGTGCGCCCCCCTGTCATACCTATCATACCTGTCATATGTCGCTATTACTACCTGTTAATATCTAGCCAACCCTTGGTTTGAGTGGAGGGTTAAAGCTCAGGGAATCCATATGCAACGCGTCGCACGGACCACATAAACATCTAACATCCATGCTGTGTCTGAGCATAGAAAGCGAGGCTTGCCTGCTGTTGCCATGAGACGGTCGGATATTCCGAGATTATAGAATTTAGCACATTGCTTACATCTACGAAGCCTTTGCGCTCAAACCAACCCAGAGGCGGAATGGCGAACTTCACCGTGCCTATAGGCTCGATGGTGTGTACTGTGCGTGCCAGCAAAGAAGGCTACATAACAGCATTACCGACGAGCTCGAGCGTCCTGCTCAAACAAAATCTCATAACCATGACGTTTACGTGGCTATTGGACACACAGACCGGTAATTGCTTGATTGGATGAGACGTACATGACGGCATGACATCACCCGAAGTACGGTACATATAGGCACTAGGAGTGCCTCTTCTATCTTGATTACTTCCGTGCTTCTTGTTCCAGATGCTGTGACGAAATCCTCGTCATGTGTGATTACACAAGAGTTCAGTACAAATGTCTCCACATCCGATATACAGTCAAGACATGGTGTGCTACATACCAGACAACCCATGTCCGATGCCCCGTGAACGTGGTCGCCGAGTAAGCATCCTGATCTGACACGGATTCTGAACGCTAAATGGAAAAGAGAACATCGACCCCTAGAATCATGCGGTCAGCTCCATCTCGACGGCTTCACTGACTCATGTAGGACTGACTTTGTCCCAGGAGATTGCAGATAAGCACTAAGCTGCAGCACAGGAAGTCCCGAAAGGTTGGGTTTAAGCGCTAGCTAGGAAATCTAACTAGGTCAGAGTGCTTCTTGTACCAGGGTGTTGGCCGTATTCTGCGGAGCTGAGAAGATGGACTTAGGGGCGACGTGAGGATCGCGTTGTTTGTGCTAGCAAAAGCTAACTGTCTTTATCGACCCCTTGTCCAATTTCTCTATTCACGCGTTGTTATATTGGACTCTCCCTACTATAATACTACTCTACTTCTTGTTACTGTCTTCCTGTACAATTAGTTTTTCCTGTACGTCACTATATTTCGATCGGCAGGTGGAAGGGGAGGCTTTCTGGAACAGTGCTGACTACGTCACCCCCGAGCGTTGTTCAGAACATCAACATTCTGCTTTCGAAGTCTCAATGCTGCCTTCTCAGCCGCCTGTCTTGCCGCCAAACTCTCGAATCTATGCCGCCTCGAGAACCTTCTTGTTCTGCTCTTAGCGTCTGCCCTAAAACACCTCGGTGACTCCCATCCCTGGCTGGGACGAGCAGCAAGTACTCGGATGCGACAACGGAGGCGCCCGTTACTTTCATTCAATCGTGTTGTATCGCGTTCATCGGAAATGAGAGTAAGGAACAGATCAAGAAAGAGCAAGGATGAGGAAGTTATCTGTTACCCGAAGAGTACCACGGTAGATTTCAAAGGGGAAAAGTGCCGCATAGGCGAAAACGTCTTTGTATCTCTTTGGCTTTTCAGTTCACCTAGCGCGCACTCGCAGCGTATCTCAACGTCTGTTCCTGGAGCCGCTGATCGAGCGGCTCGAGAGCATAATTGTCAACAAACAAGTGACAGCACAGTTGTCAATAATGAATTAAGTGAGACTCAGCTACCTCAGCTTGACTTAGTTAACTACTCTTTGAGCCTAGCAATTACCTGTATAGATTTATTTCCTACCTTGTTGTTTAAGCGCGTGAATGTGAGGCCGAAGTTGACTTGGTTGTTGACATACGGAAGGTCTCACGCTCAGCATGGCAAACACCAAGCAACCCGGGCGGGGTATCTGCATCACAGTAGACGTGCCCAGGTTAATCAGGTAGACCAGGTCAATCGATATAAACTGACAGCACCGCACAGGAAACTTTCACTGACCACGTGGGCGATCCCCGGTCCGCATCTTTCAGGACATGTTATATCTGGGCTACGCTGCTGAGCATGCGAATTGTGCAATGTGCAGAACTTCCAATTAAAACGAAAAGTCTTTCCATACTGCAAACCAGCGATCCTGGCATGGCGCTCCTTCGCAGCTTTCCACCTGATGGGGCAGAGACATTCCCGTTGCCAGTCTTGCGAGCAGAGCCGAAGCCAGATCCTGTGTCAGAGCTCGCAGCAGCGGAGAAGCTGGAGGGCAGACTAGGCGCGAATGCTGGTGAAGAATTAACCGGTGTACACAGAGCAGCGGATGGTAGAGTGACGTTGGCAGATGCAGAGCCAGAGATTGAGGCGGTGGATGCGGCGGCAGGACGTGCGCTAGCACTTGGCCAGACTCGGTGGGGAAAGGTGCCCTTCGATTAACTTACAGTTCATCTTCCTCCTCGAATTGTTGGAAGATGGTCTTCCTCCGTGATGGTTCTATCGTCTGCGTCCTGCGGCCCTGCAGCAATTGGGCTCGTCGAAGTAGTCTCATTGCCAGATGTCGCAGGCGAAGCGCCGAAGCGACTCCCAGACCAAGCTCCTGACGAAAAGTCACCTGCATGTGTTGGCGCACTAGCATCAACGAGCGTTTTGGATCCGAAAGAAGTCGAAAGAGACGTATTCGGGAGCGTGGAAGCAGCACTGCTGCCTAAGATCAATGTACCGCCCAACACTGTCTTATTCCGTCTATGCCCAGAGTGCGCTGGCTTAGCTGTTGCGGGGCCAGAGTCAGCAACATCCTCATGAGAGAGTTAGAACGGGCTGCCTCCAAAAGGGGAGATCAGGGCTGAGAGCGGAGGCTGCTCAATGTGTATCTGCTGATGATGCAACCTCATAGTTAATCAACAGGATGCATTTTAGACTGCCTCGACAATGCCTGACTTGAATAGATGAGAGCAGGTGCAGCGTATTGATTGATTTGATCGCAGGGTAGCAAGGGGGACAGGGTCAATGTGGAGCCCCTGGTCGTCGGCAGCTCAGAGCCGCAGCGAACGCAACAGCAAGAACGAATGTAAGCGGAGCGGCAACAGCAGGCCCAGCGCCGGTGCTCTGAGAAGCACCAGAAGTATCTAAAGGGCTTCCGTTGGTAGTTTCATCTGGGTTTGTGGGTTTGGAAGTGATGTTGCTGAAATCGGCAGTGCGCCACAGCAATGCCTGTACGGCTTGAAGAGCATTGAGAACTTCGCCAAGGTTAGCTTAGCTTACCGCCCGCGGCAGTGCGCGGTGAATCGCCATTTTTAGATGACCAATACAGGTTGCATGCAACTTCATCACCACTGCTCTCACAGCTAGCTGCCGCGGCCTTAGCAGAGGCGTTTAGCGTCTTGTAGATCGAGTCTGCGATGATAGGAGCTGCTTGCGCAGCGCGACTGAAGGAATGAGCCGCGATACCCTTGAAGGCTCGCTGATCGATGATACACTGTCCATTACCCTCACAAGCAGCCTCACGAAGTGCGCCATTTTCGTCTGTAAAGACCGAAAAAGAATTGACTAGGTCCTTGACGGTGGCGGTCCAGGCTTCCGACCCATTTGACTTAGATAGTGTCAGCGGCAATTCTAAAATAACCTGATCATCATACTTACAATTTTGTACATCAGCGCAGCACCTTCCATGTATATTGCGTGATTGTTCGACCACTGAATGTGGTTGATGGTCAAGCAATTGGTCTGGTCATTGGTACCGTCGTACACGTGGTAATCAACGGAAACCAGACCAACCTCAGTGGTCCAGTTGTAGACCTTATTTGCCCATTCTGTGTACGTCGCGTTACCAGTATGATCGGCAAGGCGCGCAGCTAGAAGGAAGAGTTGACCGCTGGAGAAAGCATTTTTGTAATGGTAGTCATTCTTGAAAGTAGAAATCTGCCACTTGAGGCCTCCATCACAGCTCCCAGTGTCCCAGCGAGCGACTTGCGTTTCAAACACAGTTTGCGCAAACTACAGCCAGCTACCAGTTAGCGGTGCCGGGAGCTGCGTTTCATACGCGGACAAGGAAGCCAGGCCCCAGGTGCTCTGGTCGTCGTTGCATAGTGTTTTGGTCTGGTTGGCTGGCATGAAAGCATTGGAGTCGCCAAGCTGGTGCTGAAGGGCCTCCGTGATGCGAGCGTTGTAAGCGAAGTTATTGGTAAGGCCGTAGTAGTCGATTAGGGCGTTGAAAGCCAGACCAGACTCCCACCAATAGTAAGGGGGTGGGAAAAGACCAGGGATGAGGTCCTTTTTCAAAATTTCATCATAGAATGACACAACGCCGCTTGCGAGCACCTGTGCGAGGGACCTGATGGACTCTAAAGCATAATCGTCAGCAATCGACTGGTACCCAACTATCCGAGCCGCCTTACCCTGGCTGTTTATTTCAAGATTGAGCGCCGCGGCATGCCCAAGGGAGCAAACGAGCGACACGAAGACAGAGCTTGGCAGCATGTTGAAGTTGAGGCGAGCATGTTAAGAGGAAGGAGTCACGAGTCGTGCACTGTGAATGTGGGAGTCGCGAATCTTTCAGTGGTGTTTAGGCTCTTCGCTGGGCTATGCAGAGTTTGCCCCAGTCAACCAATCACCGCGCAACTTGAAATGACAAAGTAGGACGACATAAGGCCCTGTTGCTACATCGGACCCGCCAAGATAGGCAACCAGGGGCATGTCCTACCGCCGTAAGACCATAGCGGAAATGGTAATCAGCCTGATTTTGGATGGGGCGTAAGCTTCGCTGCGAGCGCTTCTGCAATGTCGCGTGCGAATCCAACATCATTGACTGCTCTCGCATCCTCGATGATCTCGATTCCGCTGTCTTTTAGACCTTCTCTGATGGCCTGAAACAATCTCGTGTCGGCCTCTTCATCTGCAAAGGGACCTCCAGGCACTGCGATCATGCTGATCCCGCCCTTCGGTAGCCACACCTCGACGGCATTCGGGTTTTTGGCATGGTTTTTCAGCTTTGACGCGATGAACGTGCCCACTTGAGCTGCTTCTTCAGGTGATGTCCGCATAAGAGTTACGACCGGATTGTGCTCGTACAACTTTCGGTCTTTGTAGCGCTCTGGTACAGTGTCTCTAGGACCAAAGTTGGTCATGTCCGTAGCACCAACACTTATGATATTAGGAATGGCAGCAGCAGCAGCAGCTTCAAGGCGTTGTGAGCCGGCACTCATTACGCCACCCGTCAAGTGATCACAGATCTCGGTCGTGGTCAAGTCCAGCACCCCATCGATGCGGCCTTCTCGAATCAACCGCTCCATAGCCTTGCCACCGTGACCTGTCGCGTGGAATATGAAGACTTCGATATCGTACTTTGACTCGAGATGCTTCCGAATTTCGTCGACTGCGGGTGTAGTGACACCAAACATGGTGATGCCAACTCGCTTCTTGGCTGGAGGGTTCGGTTGTCGACTTCTCAGAGAGAAACCAAGAGCCATGCCAGCTATTGCGGACCCAGCGTTACTCAGTATATTCCGCAGCACATCGTTCAGGCCTGCGACATCTACGACAGAATACATCAGCGTAATATCTGTCTCGCCAACTATTGGACCCGTGTCCCCGCTTGCAATCGTCGAGACAATCAGCTTTGGGAAGCCGACCGGTAACGCATCTCTCATGACGGTCGCAGCTATCCATGTGCCTCCTGAGCCACCTGCTGCAACAATGCCTTGGATGAAGCTCTCTTCGTAGAGTGACTCGACCGCTTTCGTCGCACATTTGGCCATGATCTTGACGACGTCTCCTCTCTCTTGCTTGTCGATATTCCTGCTACCGCCATACTTTCTCAGGAGGTCTGTCGGTGACACGGTGATGGCGTCGTGGTCGACTGGGGACCGACCCACGTCAATGAGCATGACCTCCACGTTGGCTTCTCGGATGACATCGCGCAGGTGCAAAAGCTCGTCGAGCTTGGTGTCGCAAGTCCCGAGAAGAACAACACGTGCCATGTTGCCGTTATCGTAGAATCATCGAGATGGTTGCCAAAACTGTTGTTGTGGGAAGGTGGATCTCTGACCATTCCCCGCGTCATATTACGTCATCCAGCAGCAGCACCTTCCTTACATGGAGATCGATCGAAAACAACAGCGACATCGCGTTTTCGAACATCGCAAGTATGCCACCTCCTAACAACAGAAAAGATATCCTCGGGAATCTGCGCAAGTCGATTGACAATGGGGAGCTGATTGTGGGGGCGGGTGCAGGCATTGGCCTCAGCGCAAAATTCATTGAGCAAGGTGGCGGAGACTTGATCATCATCTATAACAGCGGGCGGTATCGCATGGCAGGTCGAGGCTCCCTTGCCGGTCTGATGCCATACGGAAACGCGAACGATGTTGTCCTCGAGATGGTACGCGAGCATGGCGCACAATGCGGTTCAGGATGCTAACCACACGTGTCCAGGCTGGCGAAGTGCTACCCATTGTCCAGAGGACACCGGTCTTAGCTGGAGTTTGCGCAACAGATCCCTTCCGGTCAATGGACAGATTTCTGGTCCAACTCAAGGATCTGGGTTTCGCAGGTGTCCAGAATTTCCCGACAGTTGGTCTCATCGACGGCACCTTCCGGCAGAATCTGGAGGAGACGGGCATGAGCTATGACGCAGAAGTCGAGGTCATGCGGAAAGCTTGCGAGCTTGATCTTTTGACCACACCGTACGTCTTCAATGTCGAAGAAGCTAGGAAGATGGCTGATGCAGGCGCCGACATCTTGGTCGCGCACATGGGTCTCACAATGTCTGGCAGTATTGGCGCAACAAGCGGGAAGAGTTTAGACGACTGCGTCAAGTTGATCCAGGAGATTGCTGATGCAGCGACAAAGATCAAAGATGACGTGATTGTTCTGTGCCATGGAGGTCCGATCGCTAAGCCGGATGATGCAGAGTATGTCATCAGCAGGACGAAGGGTGTACATGGTTTCTACGGTGCCAGTTCAATGGAGAGGTTGCCAGTTGAAGAGGCTATTACTAGCATTACGAAGACTTTCAAGAACATCAAACCACGGTAAATTTGTGAGCAAAGTATTGATAAATTCGTAAATCGTTATTGGCCTGCTTGGTCATTTGCATCAGTGTAAAAGGTATAGCTAAGGTCAGGGTAGCGATCACCCAATTTCCCGGCGTCAGTTCCTACAGATTCTCACATAAATGGAGGTTTTATTCCTCTTCTGATACAGTCGGCGCGGCACGTAAGGAAGTGCCCTAGATACCTCCTTTCACGCCATGAAGATTGGTGAGACCACAAGCCAGGACTGAGGAGGCCCACAAACACACCACTCAAAGCTTAGGCCACGAAAAGGTATGAGACACAACGTGCTCATATCAGTGGTTCCTAGACTATGCCGAGATATAGGACAAGGCGGGGGAGCTGCTCAGACTTGCAGGCCCCCAGAAGCAGACAAGTGGCGATAAGGGATACATATTTTTGAATAGAGGCAGCACCAATATTCAAATCGCCGCAGCTAATATTGAAGGATGAAAGTGATAGTGAAGATTGCAGCGGTGGCCGCTGCAAAGCGTACCACTAGTGACCAAGCCCAGAAACGTCAGCTGTTCCAGCCTGGAGTATGCTTACAGTCAAAATACCACTTAAAGCGGTATCCTCTAGCATTGAACCGATCTTGCTTATGATTTCTAGAACTAAGTGCATAGGGAGACCTGTGGAGAGGGGAAGGATAGAAGCTCACGACCTAAGGGCACCGCATACTTTATCCTAGTTATGTCGCAGCATCTGCTCTCCTAGTATATTCCGTACCAATTTCAGAGAGTAAGATGGAATGCGTTTTAGTCCTTTGTTAGAGCAGGGGTTCTCGTAAGGACAATATTCATGCAGCACAGCCCCACTGTGCGCACCGCTACACAGGGCGAATATTTTGTTGAAATATGTAATTTTATTTTGTTTTTGTGTTGAGTGAGGCTACGAACAGTATATATAGGTGAGTGACCGTAAACAGTGCTAGTCCCAAATAAGCATCGTCTCACTACCAGAGGTAGTTGCGACTGCAGAGAGAGCAGGAGAGCTTCTGCTGCTTCTGATTGACTAGGCAGCACCTGCCTTCAACATATTTGGCCGAAGATGAGATTTTACAAAGGCAACCATTTGCCAATACCACGAGATAAGGCCCACAAATAATAGGGAGTGGTGGACTGCCATTGAAATCGGGGTGCATGAGGCTGTTCGGATTCGTAAGGAAGCTCGCCTCAGTTTAGCTGCTATGTTAATTAGGATTTGTGAAACAGCGACATTTGGGGCATCACTTGTCTTGCAAAGCTCCCACGCCTCCATCCTTCTGATTCCTTCAAGAATAGAACTTCCAAGCTACACTGGCAAATTCTTCCCTATGCTTGATCATGGCACCGAGTCCTTTGTCACTACCGACAGGTTTCACAGTGGAGCTCGAAAAGCGCGGCCCGCGCATCTGCGTGTCTTCAAACCCCATTCCTGTAGCTTCAACGTCGAAGCCCAGTAGCATGACAGCTGCGCATCCGATGATTTCCGCAAATGCAAAGGTCCTGCCAGGGCAAAGATGCCGGCCGCCGCCAAAGGGCATGTAGGCTACCTTGCGGGTACGGTCTGCACCGATAACTTTCGACGTAGAGGCTAAGAAAAGATCGGTTCTGAACTGTTCTGCGTCGGGACCCCATGAAGTAGTGTGTCTGTGCGTGAAACCTGCTGGAAGCTGGATATCCACACCCTTCTTGAGCAAGTAGGACTGACCATCTTGGTATGTGATGGTCATGTCCTGCATGATGCGTCGGTTGCAGATGGTGTGGTCGACAGGACGCAGTATCTCGCGGTAGCAGCTGACAAGCAAGGGCAGCTCAATCTCGAATTCCGAGATGTTAAGGGTAATTGATCGAGTACCAACTGAGTCGGACGGTGAGGTCTTGGCAGAAGCTGCGATCTCTGCTGGAAGCTTCTCCAACAGCGATGGGAGTGGCAGTATGTACAAAAGCAACCAATAAAGCGTCAGAATGGCGTTGCGGGTGGAGACAACAGGCAAGGTGCACTCCAAGAGCCGAATCTCATCGCCTGTAAAGCCGTACTCGGTCAGTGTGTTCGCTCGATTGTGTGTCACTGTTGCTGTTGTGGGGTCTGAGGCGTGGTGCCCGGCAGCGTAGTATTTTGAAATAGTTTGTTGTAAGTGCTGCCATGCTTTGTATGACTGTGGCATGGTAAGAAATGGAAACAAGGACAATAAAAAGTACGATACGGCTTCTTCGTACACCTTGATCTACTAAGCGTGAGCTTCAGTCAGCAATGCTCATAATCACAGCTTCCTCCAGCTTTGACTCACCAAGTTGCTTTGATCAACGAATTATCCCGGATAAATGGATCATAGCCACCATATAAAGCTCGTGTTGTGGCTAGAATCATGAAGTCGCGGCACCACAAGAAGAAGTTTTCCACCTCCATTGCCCCATCCCTTGCGATTCGTTCTTTTCCGGCGTTACGAGGGTCCACGACTGCTTTGCGACCACTAATAGAATCGACCTTGGTAGCGAAATCGGTGAGCCAGCGTAGATTCATCTTAGCCAAGCTTTCTGTTTGAAAGCTTCGATGTATAGCATCGGTGAAGTCCTTAAAGATCATTTGTTGCGGCAGATGTAGCCGCTCTATAGTCGATGAAAACTGCGCTGAGTTACTTGCTAGCTAGGAGGCGACCACATATACATGCCCTGAGACATGCTAGTCCGAGGTAGTCAACAGAGGTGACGATCAAGGCTTTTAGGACCGAACTGCACCGCAAGAAGCTCCCCAGCTGCTGTGAACAACAAAGCTGAACGTTGTAATATCAGTAGCATCCTGTGAGACCCGCTAGGTCTGGCATATCGGCGTCCTGCAAGCGTTCTACGATGTAGCATTCTACGTTTTCTAGGTCTAGCTGTTTAATGAGCCTGTAGTGCTTCTGTTGTACCAGAGTCTTTGTAAGTCTGTCTGCTAGCATATCTGCAGTTGAATACCAGGCTAAATTTAGACGCTGTTGCTGAACTTCTTGCCTTAACCAGATCTAATGTGTGTCAACGTGGTGGAGCTTTGTATGTAGCTGTCAGATATTGGGTTACTGAGGAAAGGTTGGCAGGGCCGGATCTGTACAGAGACATCACTCGGAGGTCTCAGCTGAGTTCACCAAGCAAGGCAGGGGCCCACAGACTAAGCCTAATAATCAGCAACACGCCAGATTGAGGTTACTAAGCATGTAAAAGAGGGGTAGCCAAGCAATTCAGGACTACTAAGACAATGCCTTAGCTAATAATTAACAGAAAGGCAGGTTAAGAGTACATAAGACTAGAGGAGAGACACAAAATAGAGAAGAGAGAATAAACACAATTTTTACTACCTACAATCTTGTTAAGTTTATACTCTAACAACAGTACAAGAATCTAATAATTAAGAGTCTTACTGCTGCAACTAAGCTAGAACAATGTTAATCCTTAGCACACCTACTGTTGTACTCACTGACTATACAATGTACACCCCGTGGCTACGCCAGCTAGAGATACGCTGTGTCTCTCTGGACGTGTGGGATCAAATTGATCCTGATCAACTCACGCGCCCGAAGTCAAAGCTGCGGTTACTAGCTGTGCCAGATCTTACGACATACAAACAGAGAACAACACTTAGCAACAATAAGGACAGAGAGCTATTGCTACCTAAAGCACTATCTGTTGCGGTATGAAGAGCAAATGCATATAATGAGTGTATTGTGTTCTGTGTTGTTGTTGTTGTCGTTGTATCTATATTCTCCAAGGCTCGCTGCGGGGTTTGTTTTGATGACGTCTTTGTAACGCAGCCAAGGTAAGAGGTGCTCAACAACATGAGGAAGTAACACCAGACCACCGCCAACAACACGTGATCCGCTTCTCCTCTCAACCGTTACACTATCAGAGCTCTTATTAAATAGACTTAAGGCGTGGAAAGAAGACAACGACTACTGGAAGAGCCATCTTAAGTCATACAAGATAGCTAACTAAGACTATTGTAAGGAGCGAGCTAGTCTTGACAAGGTAGTAGTATTTATCTAACACTCTGTCTTAACACACCTTATAAAGAACTGCTGTAAGCTAGGTGAAACAGTAAGATTATGGCTCACTAGCCTTAAAGCTAACTGTCGGCATTAACGCTAATAAAGAACAACTACAAGCACAACACTAATATCTTGCTGCACTTAAGCCTATGAGGCTCCTAGGTAGCTAGAGTACCTGGCTTGCTGAATAAGATCACGCTGCAATAAACGCAGAGGCTGAGAAGGTAGCAGAGACACAGAACATACAAGACATTATTTAAGACTTTCTTAACTTAGTAATAAAGATAGCACTAACCTAGGCAACTGCGTTCTAGGACTAAAGTTAATAAGAAGATAATATTACTTGTAAAGATATAATAAAATACTTCTAAAAGTATATAAGCAAGTACTACCCTACTAGTTAGGCTGGCGGATGGGTAGGGTATGCTTTTTTACGTTTT